AGTGTGTGTGTTGTAGTGTGTGTTGTGTAGTGTAGTGTGTGTGCTGTAGTGTGTGTGCTGTAGTGTGTGTGCTATAGTGTGTGTGCTATAGTGTGTGTGCTATAGTGTGTGTGCTGTAGTGTGTGTGCTGTAGTGTGTGTGTTGTAGTGTGTGTAGTGTAGTGTGTGTGGTGTAGTGTGTGTGCTGTAGTGTGTGTGGTGTAGTGTGTGTGGTGTAGTGTGTGTGTGTAGTGTGTGTGGTGTAGTGTGTGTGGTGTGTAGTGGTGTAGCTGTAGTGTGTGTGCTGTCGTGTGGTGTGGCTGTAGTGTGTGTGCTATAGTGTGTGTGCTATAGTGTGTGTGCTATAGTGTGTGTGCTGTAGTGTGTGTGCTGTAGTGTGTGTGCTGTAAGGTGTGTGTGCTGTAGTGTGTGTGCTGTAGTTTGTGTAGTATACGTGTGTGTGTTGTAGTGTGTGTGTGTTGTAGTGTGTACTGTAGTTTGTGTAGTATACGTGTGTGTGTTGTAGTGTGTGTGTGTTGTAGTGTGTACTGTAGTTTGTGTAGTATATGTGTGTGTGTGTGTGTGTGTAGTGTCATGGCAAGGTTTATTTTGTCCCTCAGTTTTATTCCCAGTGTGCTCTACTCCAATTTCTGAATGAACTCAAAATGGGTTTCATTGGTCCCAGATGAAATGCCTTCCTGTGTTTATTCCCTTATATTTCTTCCGTCCAGCTACAGATTCTCCGAGGCTGGTCATGTGACTCCAGTAGAGACTGGGTGTGGTATCGCTGGCCCCTCGCTGCATTAGTATTCTGCTGAGATGGCCACATGCAGATACATTCTCCTCTCTCCTCCTCTGAAGGAATAATCAGCCTCGCCTTCCTCTCCTTTCTTCCCCTCTGTCTGCCAGACTGATTTCGCTTTTTGTTTTACGAGCTACCTGCAGGGGCATCTTCAAGTGTTTGGAAATGCTCGTGTGTGTGTTCACGATGCAGGTTCCTCGCTAAACCTGATGCATTAGGCGTCTTTCAAGTTTCAAGGCTTTTATTGTCATGTGTGCATAGCTACAGTGTAGTTATGACAATGGCAATCTTAGGTCACAGGCTCCTCCAACAGTGCAACACAATACAACAGATGAAATAGTAAGTAATACAAATAGAATAGAATAGTGCAAGGAGAGTCTGTATACAAGTAATTGGAATGTGATATATTAGATAAATAATTTATAAGTTGCACAAACACACAGAACTGCTTGTGTCCTCGCGCTCCAGAGGTGAGTCCGAGAGGGAAGTTCAGTCCCTCAGAGCAGTCTGTCCTGTTTGTTGATTATCAGCTCCCGTTCCTATCACAGCCTGATAGCATCTCCATCTGATCTGCTGCCAGAGACGCTAGCTCAGTAGCCGCTCTGCTGCTAGCCGCCTCCCTCTTATCAGGCCCAGATCTGCCATCGCCCTGCTCTCTCATCTTCTCCTTATCTCCTTATTCCACCTTTCTCCCTGCTCCCAAACACCCCAAACCCAACAGTCTCTCATCTTCCTCATCCTCTTCCTCCTTTTATCCCTGTCTCTCTCAGAGCCTTTGCCACAGCTCCTACTGTTGTTCCCCACGCTTGGTTTCACGTAAACTGCCAGGGCGGAGTCAGTGAGTGACAGGATGACATGCAGATTAGAGGTGAAGAGAGAAGAAGAAGAAGAAGAAGGCACATGCTTACTTACCAGAGATGGCAAAAGTACACACATCCTTTACTCAAGTAGAAGTACAGATACTCGTGTTTAAAAATACTCTGGTAAAAGTAGAAGTACTGACTAAACTTCTTTACTCAAGTAAAGTAAGAGGGCTTTGAAATGTACTTCAGTAAAAAGTACCCATAACAAGCAGCTGTTTTAAAGAGTACCTGACCTCCCTTTATATGAATAGAACAATAATGTCATTGTTTAGCTAATGAATGTTTCCATGCTGAACAACGGCAACATTGACAACGTTTTTCATTGGTCCCTCTTCTTTAGAGAAGACCAGGAAATGATGGATACACGGATCGTGTTCAATCAATAGGCACGCAATGACTCTAAAGAATAATGATAACGCCACCAAACACACATTCAAACTAAAGGAACCAGCCTGTTTGGGAAATGTGAGAAGTAGGAAAGTACAGGTATTTGAGTCAACATGTAAGAAGTAGAAGTAACAGTACAGGTATTTGTGTTCAACATGTAAGAAGTAGAAAGTACAGGTATTTGTGTTCAAAATGTAAGAAGTAGAAAGTACAGGTATTTGTGTTCAACATGTAAGAAGTAGAAAGTACAGTTATTTGTGTTCAACATGTAAGAAGTAGAAAGTACAGGTATTGAGTTCAACATGTAAGAAGTTAGAAAGTACAGTATTTGTGTTCAAATGTAAGAAGTAGAAAGTACAGGTATTTGTGTTCAACATGTAAATGAAGTAGAAAGTACAGGTATTTTGTGTTCAACATGTAAGAAGTAGAAAGTACAGGTATTTGTGTTCAACATGTAAGAAGTAGAAAGTACAGGTATTTGTGTTCAACATGTAAGAAGTAGAAAGTACAGGTATTTGTGTTCACATGTAAGAAGTAGAAAGTACAGGTATGTTGCGTTCAACATGTAAGAAGTAGAAAGTACAGGTATTTGATTAGGTCAACATGTAAGATAGAAAGTACAGGTATTGGGTTCACATTTAAGGTATTGGTTCAAAGTCAGAGGTATTTGTGTTCAACATGTAAAGTAGAAAGTACAGGTATTTGAGTTCAGTAAAAAGTGGTCAGAAAAATAAGTAGTGGAGTAAAGTACTGATACCAGAACAATGTACTTAAGTGCAATAACAAAGTATTTGTACTCCACTACTTCCCACCTCTGACCATGTGTCAGTGGTGAGGGATAAACGAGGGAAGAGAGGAGGACAGACGTGTGAAAAGAAAACATGTCGAGTAAGCAGAGAAGTTGTGTGAATGCAGCAGTCCTGTCCCACTCCCCATCGATCGCCATGAGGTGCATGGATCAGTCAGCTTTATTTCACCCGGCTCCCAGCATGCAACATGCAACACACACGTCAGCAAATAACACAGACACCACACACAGAGAAAGGAGCGACTACACTAAACAGGCAGCACATTACAAACAAGGCTCTTCTTCACAAACAATCCTGACGTATAACGATACACAGATTAGGAGCTCATCCATTACTCACTCGATGTAATTGCTCACACACTTAAACTGCAACTTAAGACACACTTTGCATAGTTCAATAGTGTCATTGTTGTCATAATTAAGTGCTGCTTTTGAGTCAAAGCTGAACACAGTTGATGCTCAGAGACACAAACAGACATTCTCTGGTTGCTCTTTAAAAGACGGGATTACCTTATTTTGGAGATCAATAGATAGAAAACAGTTTCATTTGGCTTTAGTGATCTTTGATCTTATCTGCCGTCTTATAGTTCACAACAACAGCTCACATGCACTGTTTTTTCTATTGGTTTTGGCATTTTGTCTTCAATGAAATAGAGTTTTAAGTAACTAAAAACTGATATTTTAGGGTAAGGATTTGTTAGCATGGGAAAAACTGATGCTTGGGCTTGTAAGAGAGTTTGGGCCATTATCTTCTTTGAGATAAATATATGTGCAATTCCAATGGCCCTGGTCAACATGGTGGCCATGGCCATTGCACTTAAGTCCTACTTTCCCCATCAGCGCACAATTGTGGGTGATGTGGAAAACATGTGGTTTCAATTAAACAGCGATTGAGGGTCTTCCTCGGTCTGCTGCCACTTTTGTGGATCCACTCTGTATGACTTTAACTCTAATGCTAATCATTTGGTCATCACCTTGACAAATTATTAATAGTTAGCAGTTCCTGGTAATTGATTTGCATTGCATTGTTTACACTTTGATTTATATTCTATCTGTCAGATGTTTGTTCTTACTCTAGTTTTCACTGCATAATAAGTGCACATATGTGTCTTTATATGAGAACGCATGAATCACAAAGAGGTGATTAATCATCAGAAAGTTTTAAACCACCACAAATAAAGTCAATCTCAATATAGACCAGGGGTGTCAAACTCAATTTCATCACGTGCCACATCAGCATGGTGGTTGCACTCAAAGGGCCGGCGGTAACTTTAAGACTATATAAAAATACATATATAATTATTTAATATATATAAAATAATGTATTACATTATTGCCTCTGCATTGGATTATTATCAGATAGGGTAATAACTTCATAATTAACTACGTCTGAAAGCAGAAGTCTAGGGCAAATAACTGCAAGTCTCTTCAGTGCGCACGTCACAAAATGATTTAAAAAGAAAAGCCAAATTCTGGAAAAATCAAAAGTCAAAATCAAAAAAAATAAGTGAAATTTTTTGAAAAGTAACATTTTGAAAAAAAAGGCAAATTCGGAGAAAATGTTATATTTGAGATGCATTGTGGGACATGTAGTTTATGGGCAACGTGCTTCTGTAAATCGGCATGTACCCGTATAATAAACATACAATATTCTTTGCAAGCTCTTGTGGGGCCGCATCAAATGAAGTCACGGGCCGGATTTGGCCCCCGGGCCTTGAGTTTGACATCTAGACGTTTTCAAATAATTGATGAGAGAATTGTTGTGCGAGCAAACTAAAGAAAACATAAACATCTACTTCTTCTGTTTGTTTGTTTGTTTTAATATGAACCCGTTATAAGTTATGAACGTCAGAGTGTTTTGAGTAGCAGCTGATATCTCCTGGCTTCCTGCAGTTCTTATACTCCAGCTCTCTGGAAGTTGACTTTCTGACAAGTTGATGCAATTTCTGCGATGAGATTTCTCACCTCTCTATGTTTAACTCATGACTCAGTTTCCTTGTCTATCTTTTCAGCTTCTGCACCTCTTTCCCTTCTCTTGCTAATAATGGGCTGAGCTCCCATTATCCCCCATATGTTCACCTTTCAGAAAAGTAAAGATCTGTCCTGTAAAAGACCCCCATCTAATTCTTCTACAATGTGTTTTACATATTTTGCTGTTGCAGGCAGAGGCTTCCCGCTAAAAACGTGTACTACTACCGCTCTCCGGACCACCGGCGTAACTACGTCATGTCCTTCGCCTTCTGCTTCGACCGAGAGGACGATGTGTACCAGTTTGCGTACTGCTACCCCTACACCTACTCCAGACTGCAGCACTACCTGAACAGCCTGGAGCGCAGGAACCTGCCCTTCCTGCAGAGGGAGCAGCTGGGCCTCAGCGTGGTGAGTGGGGAGGGGGAAGGGCTGTGAGGAGGGGGGAGAGAAAGTTTGGATCATTTCAAACCAGCTGAGTGAACTATGGTCACACTCCCAGCTGAATAAGGCTCCTACTTTAAGGGTTTTTGAAACAGCGGCACGCTTTGGGACAAACTCTTCTCTCTCTGGCAGAAACTGTCCTGATTTCTCCAATTGTTTAGAATCAGCATTGGGCACAACAAAGCATTTTGATAATTATACATTTAAATGATATATTTGTGCTTTTCTAAATTCTCAAAGACACCTTACAAGCATACAACAAAGCTACATACTGCAGACTTACATTAGTGAAACAAGATGCAATGTCATTCATTGAAAGAAAATACAAAGAGACAAAAGAGACAGAAAACAGTGAGAATATATATATATTTTTTTTGCAAACCTCTTTTCGTTTACAAATCTGACGTTTATGACGAGCTGCTCTGTTTTTGCACCAGTCCATGTTCAAAACTTATCAATTACACATGTTTTTTATAGGATGAAAAGGGGTATATAAGTAAGACAAATAAAAACACTACAAGACATTCAAGATGACAATATATAATATATTTTCTTTTCTTATTTTGCACAAATTTCAAGTAAAATTTTGCGCGGAAATGTTTCTACACAGCGTGTTTCATGACATATACAAACAGTGTTGCACATGGTACGGTGGTTAAGTCCTGACGTATACAGACTCACTGATGGAGGGTTTAATAACTCCCACTCCCCGGTTTGGAACGGCACTAAATCTGGCGGACCCTCAAACGCACAAACAGATTGAAAATGGGAAGGTTAGGGTCCGATTGAACTTTGGACAGTGTGTGTGGAGTGGTTATAGCTGGAGAAGAACAGTGGAATTATGATGAAGGTGTGTGTGTGTGTGTGTGTGTGTGTGTGTGTGTGTGTGTGTGTGTGTGTGTGTGTGTGTGTGTGTGTGTGTGTGTGTGTGTGTGTGTGTGTGTGTGTGTGTGTGTGTGTGTGTGTGTGTGTGTGTGTGTGTGTGTGTGTGTGTGTGTGTGTGTGTGTGTGTGTGTGTGTGTGTGTTAATCAGCAGCGCTCTCACCTCAGCAGTAGGAGTCGGTGTATCATACGCGCTGCCTCCAGTCTTGTCTGCTCTTATCAAATAATTGTAGGAGAAAAACTCATTAGAAATGCTTGAGAGATTACCACTTCTTCTTCTGTCCTCCAACATTTGTCAGAGAGAAGCTCGCTGTGAGGGGGGGGGGGGGGGGCACCATGAAAGAACAGGTATTTTTAAGGATCATCTGACTGTAAATATACTGAGGAATTTAGAAAAACATGGCATGAAACAGCTGATAGTTAAGAAAATATACCTTTTTTAATGAAATATCTGGTAACCTGCAGTAACACTAAGACGAGGAGATGAGGTGTTTCAGAGACTAATGGCTGGTCATATTTCAAAACCAGATTAAGTTGCATTTCCATATTTAACAAAGAGAAGAGAAGACGAGAAGAACCACCTTTTATCTTTTGTTTTGCCCTCAAAATATAATAATTAAAGGTCCCATGTCACGGCCATTTCTACTGATCATATTTCCATTGTTGAGGTCTACTAAAATAAATGTATATTGTGCAATTTTCTAAACTCACATTGGTTTCTCATACAGCATCTCTGTATAGTATGTGTATTCACTCTCTGTCCTACACGGCTTGTTGGAGCTCCTGCCCCCCCCCTCCCTTTGAGCCCAGTGTGCTCTGATTGGTCGGGACGTTGCGAGGCTCGCTGCTCAATGATCTGGCTTACTGGTGTGGTTTCCGGGTCGGCGATACAGCACGAAACTCATCCTGAGCACACAAACACTCACAGCTGAAGTAAAAACAATAAGTGTGGCTTGATATTGAGTAAGAAAAAGGTTTATAAACGCGAGCATTTCTCCGCGATCCCAACTCGTCTATTACCAGCGTTCAGGGAGCTCTATGCAAGTCAATGGGACTCCCTGTTAGTTGAAAATGTACGCTAAAGGTCCTGGTGTGTGAGGAGCTCCGCGGATTGGTCCATTTTGGTTCCGGGAACCGCATGACGGAAAATGAGAAATGTCCAACGAGGCGTTCTGGGGCAGCAAAGACAGGTCTTTTCTGTGTTAGAGTTTTACTCGCTACAGGGTGTACTTTGAGGGTTCGTGACTCTGCAGACCGTTTACATGCAGAAAAACCTTCATAACACACAAGGGGACGGGTAATAACCGGAAAAGCATGACATGGGACCTTTAAGATTTCCATTTTGGTTACCTTTGTGCTTAGCAAGCTTATACAGTACAGGCCCCCACATTTCAGATGGAAATTACATTACCATTTTGGAAGTAAACATGTCCAAAACAACCAGAGAAAATAAAAAATACAAGAGCAGAAACTTAGAAAGCCAAACTGTGTGCAGACCATTTGTGGCATTATGTTGTTTTTATGTTGTAGAATGTCAAAAAGTGGCCTTTTTTGCGTCACGCTGGGATCACATGATGCATGCACAGTGTGGGCAGCACGGCACAGTGAAAACATTTCCTCAGAAAAATGAGAAGTTGGAGGAGTGCTGGTTCCCATAAACCACAGAGTGAGGCTTTCATTCAGCAGCTCAGTGTGGCGACTCGTTCCACTAACCCCCTCTTACAACTTCAACTGTCAATATGTCTTGTTTTGTCGTTGCATCAACATTGACTCTTAATCTGTGAGAAATAAGTAGCATTTTCTCTGGCTGCTTTACAATAAAAGACATATAGTGATTCCCAATTGAATACTTATAAACAATGGGAAATTATGCATTTGTAGTAACAAGGAGGTCTTCATCAAAATGATAACATTCACAATAACTGTCCCAAAGTTCATTGATCTTCCCTGATGGCTCCCACAGGATTGTTGACATCCTCGTGGATTCATCTTGTTATTATAGACACATGCATTTCCAAACATTTGGTCTACCTATATCTCTGCAATATAAGGTAAAGGAAAAAGACATTGAAATATCATTCTACATGTATTAGTGCATGGCTGTGGAGAAGTCCCAACCTACAAAATTGTATTTTACAGACCTAATAAAAGATCCTTGTTTGGTGTAGATCCTCAAAAATACAATCATTTTGATATAATATTCAGTCTTAATGTGAATAATGTTCCATAAATGATCATTATTTATATCAATATTAAAGGTGGGGTAGGTAAGTTTGAGAAACCGGCTCGAGATACACTTTTTGTTATATTCCATGGAATGCTCTTAACATCCCGATAGCAATGAATATCTGAAGTGCTTTGACTAAAAATCCATAAAAAAATGTCATCTGTGGAAGCCGTAGTACTGGAAAAAGCACGACCAATCATCTGAGCCGGCCCGGCTAAAATAACTGGATGGCCTACCTGCCTGTCAGCCTTCCATCTGTGCACAAACTTATCTCGTGCCCTCATTGGTCATGTGCGCGTTCGTGTGTGTTGGAGGAGGGGCTCTGTAAGGAAGTGGCAGATTTTTTCCGGCTGTGTATTTTCAAATTCTAGCGCACTCGAGCTGGTTTCTCCAAAATGACCTACCCCACCTTTAATAGAATCAATATTATCCCAGTTAGTTTTGTTTGTCTAATAAAGCAGACCGAATTTCCAATACGTTTTTTTTGGGGCGAGAACGTGCCTTTATTTGAGATGCAGAGTTGAACCGTAAAGCACCTTTTAATACCAATACATGACAACATACTGTACAGTAACTATCTAATATTTTTCAGATTATAACTTAAAGTGTGGTAAGAACAGAAGATATTTTGGACCCCCACATTTTAAGTCATGGCATTACTCATTCATTACATTACATTACATGTCACTTGTTTGTCGCTTTTATCCAAAGCGACATACAGTACACACATTCAATACTGTGGACAATCCCCACAGGAGCAATTTGGGGTGAAGTGTCTTCGCCCAGGGACACAACGACATGCTGACTGCAGTGGGACTCGAACTTGCTACCCCCTGATTCCAAGTCCAGTACACTATCCACTGAGCCACAGCCTCCCTCCATGCTACCAAAGCTCACAATATGTCCCCCACTTCTGTTGTAAATTATTACAACTACAATAATCTGTTGCCACTAGGCAGCCAAATTAATAAAAAACGGAAATAAAAGTATCCAGGGGGGAAATTCTGTATTCAGATTCTGTTTCTGCACTGTTTGTGTGGACATCATATTGTAAATACGAGCTTTACAATCCTGCCTGCACTGTTTCTGCTTTATTTTGAAGCCACATGGTTTCGAGACAGAGGGAACAGAGAGAGGACAGACCGGCTTGCTTTGGCTCACAGAGTCAGAATTAGTATTCATAGTCATAGAGACGTTTTATGGCCGTATTTTTCTCTTTATGTTCTCTGGGCAGACAGCTCAGCCCCACCCTCTCATATCTCTTCCTCTGGCTGCTCCCTTTCTCTATCTCATGCACATATGTAACTCCACACACACACACACATACACACACACACACACACACACACACACACACACACACACACACACACACACACACACACACACACACACACACACACACACACACACACACACACACACACACACACACCATGTATACATCACTTCAGGGGACATTACATTGACTTACATGCATTTCCTGGAGACTTATCCTAACCTTAACCATAACCAGCACATGCCTAACCCTTACCCTAACCCTAACCAAGTCTACACCCTAAAATTAATGATTCTCTTATGGGGACCTCCATTTTGTCCCCATAAGGGAGGTGAGTCCCCACACGTGACTGTGTAAACAGATGTAGGTCCCCACAAGGATAGTAATGCTAGGCCACACACAGACACACACACACACACACACACACACACACACACACACACACACACACACACACACACACACACACACACACACACACACACAGAGACACAAACACACACACACACACACACACACACACACAGAGACACACACACACACACACACACACACACACACACACACACACACACACACACACACACACACACACACACACACACA